ATGAATAACGGGAAAATAATATCCATAATGAGTATCTGGTTAAGCATGTTATATGAAGGAAATAAATTTTTATAGTAAAGGATGATATAAATCAGGGCTGCAAACTACAGGGCAGTAGGAACCACATGTTAGGATTCAGGCAAAGGTGTAGCTAGAGTTTTCAGCATCCAGGGACAACTGAAGATTTTGTGCCCCTTACCGTGTGCCAAGAATGAAAAACATTTCATTTTAAAATTTTTTAACATTAATTTGGCACTCCCTGGATGCTGCACTCGGGGACAGATGTCTCCCCTTGCCTCACCCTAGCTACGCCACTGGATTCAGGAAACTTTCAGAACCACAATTAGATTTTCATAGCATCTCCATTCTTTACTTAAATCATTTTAAATGTAAGATTTTCATGCAAAGGATCTTTTGAAGTAAATTAATGAGAGTTTCGCATTTTTGTGTAGTTAATATGGCTGTGTATAAATATGAGTAAGAACTTTAATTTGTCTCTCTATAGATGTATAAAAATTTGTTTCTGTTATATATAGGTTTAAAACTATCGTATGGCACAGATGAATGTTTAAGCGAGGACGTCAAGCATTTTGTTCTGGTTTCATTTCCTTCTCTTTCACCCCATTTGTAATTGTTAAATGGTCTTAGGAAAAGAATATTAAAAAAGAAAAAAAGGAGAGAAGGAAAGAATCGTAATGGTCTTTTTGAGTACAACATCGTAAAAAAACTTTTCATTTCAGTGAAGAGTAAAGCAAGAAATTTAAAAACAGATCCAGTGATTTTCCTTATTTAACTCATATGCATTCTTGTGGATAGAGTAAAATGTGTGAAATGGGGTAGCGCTATTTGAGAAAGTGTTGCTTGAATTCCGTGATGCAAACGAAGACTGTATGCTGAAGGGGAGTGACACCTTTTAATAAATAGTTGGTAATTTCTGATTTCTGTGTAAAACTGGCTCATATATGCCCTTCGAGAAAGAAATATTGTTTTAAAAGAAGCTGTAAACTTTTTCAGGACTTAATGCAAAAATAATTATTTAGTTTTTCTTGTACATTTAACACAAGGATTGTCATACAGAGATCTAAACCTGATCCTAAATAACTGAGTGAATTGGATTCTTTAAATTTTATATAAGGATGAAACAATCAAATTCTCAGATCTTGTAAATTTTCAAAAACTCTTATCTGAATGCCTTTTTTTATTCGAATATTTTGAATCTTAAGAAAAGAAGTCGGCGAACATTTTAATTGAAAATTTTGAAAATAGTAGTTTCATTTACTCACTAAAAGAAGAACGCAGTTCCTGAAATTTCAGTGGCATCTGCCCAAAACCATTCGAAAAATTTAAAAAAAGCAGACTGTACAAAGAATAGGAAAGCACTCAATTGTGGTTATTGAGAAGCAGGAGGATTAAATGAATTACAAGAAGAAATTCCCTAAAATAATGTAACATCTGGGGGAAAAAATTGGGAGGTGCAAATCGTTTTTCTTTCTTTTTATTTCCCCCTAAATAAGCTTGACTTTTGTGCCATTATCTAGCTTAAAAGTAACTCAGTCATTATAATTTGCACAAATTGAATTATTATTTTTTTACAAGACTAGCACATCGTGGGCAATTTTCAAATGGACTTAAATTATTGCACACATAACTTAATTAAACAAATTAAATTATTAATTGATAAAGATGTGTGTCATTGCACAATTTCTATTTAAAACTGAAAGTGTATTTCAAAAATGAAAGAAAAGTTTGTTGCATGTGAGTCATACTTAAAGGTCAAAAAGCTTGAAACAGCTTACGAGCCGGCGCAGTTAAGAGGAAAGCCAGTTTGGCCTTGTCTGATACATGCTCTCACTATGCATGCTGCATTTATAAAGACTGCTAAGTTTTTCAGCTGGAGAATGTGAGACATTTACAATATGCTTTCTCGGATTCGAATCTGGCTGTTCCTATCGCTACATAGGTTGTTTTTATATTTTTCCAGCGATTTTAGCGGCCATTTAATTGATATTTAAATTTTTTTTTTTTTAAACTTTTTTTTTTTTTTATGTCCAATCCGATAGACGTTTTCTAGAATATATGTCCTCATCATGAATTCTATGATACAAGGGCTTTTCCAAGGGTACTGATTCCCATGCCTTTTCCACCACTTTCCAGAATCCATCAATCATGGTGCATTTGCACTTGGAAAGAGCTCTTTTCAAGAGACTAAAGACATGGATGGAATGTCAGAGAACTTCGCAGGAGGAGTATGTTAAAAAAAAATTTATTTTCAATACTTGTAAAGTCTTCATTTTTTAAAGGAATGCGCTTTTACTTTACGAAGTATGACTTGTTGCTTAGGGTAAAAAATTGGAATTTCTTTAGTTAATATCTGGCATAAAACATTCTCTTAGTACGTTGAATTCATTTTAACATTTTTCCTCCACTCTTCTTCTTTTTAATTTCTTGAGAATCTTGAAACAATTATAAAACCCCTTTGCATTGATGACACCAGGTTTGAAAGCTTTTTCTCTTCATTTTCAATAATAAATAGAACTTTTTCTTTTCATTGACAGAACCAGATTTGTACATTTTTTCTCCTCGTTTTCGATAATAAACTTTTTTTTTCCCCTGCATTCATTTAGGTAAGCCCATGCTTCATCAAAAGTCACAATGTATTTCAAAATTTATCTCTTATTAAATAATTTTCATTACAGAGCTCTGGAAATTTTTCTATGTTGGGCCACATGCCTTGGCAAATACTGGTGGAGGTTATGTTTTTTAGCTTTTTTTAAGCTCTAAATCTTGGTATGTTATTATATTTGTTGTTGCTGCAGATGTATTTTAAGACTTTGCAATTCATTTCTGCGTTGGCAGGTTTTCTCTCATTAACAATGATTTTGAAATTTAGAAACAGTATGTACCATTTTCAGGTATTCGTTTGGAGTCTTCATCCATGTGAAGGTAATGATTGATGGTTTTCCCTTTGCAAAATAGAACCTTTTTGTTTCATTTTAGGAGTAATATTATACTTATTTTACACTTCAGAATTTTATTACCATGCTTCATGCGATGTTTTTGAATTATGGAATTGGAATATTTGTCTTTGGAAAGCGTAAAAACCATATCCTTCGATACACAGCTTGTTTAAATGCGACGTTTTGAAACAGAAATAAGCAGATAATAATTCTCATTTCAAATAATAAGTTGTTGCCGAAAATTTTTATTCCAAAACATTAAAAAAAAAAAATTTTTTTTTAATACAGTCAAAAGTCGTTAATCCGGACTCGTCGGGACTTCGGCGATTCCGGATTATCGATTTTTCTGGATTATAGATCATCAGTTTAAATCTGGTAAGATGGCATGCAGAAATTATAAAATTAAAAATATGAAAACGTAATTTATGAAATAAAGAACAATTATGATCTAAAGGATATCAAAATTTACCAAAAAAAAAAAGAGCTTAATATTTATTTATTTACTTTATTAAACATTTCTTTCAATGTAAGTTGTTTGCTTCGTTTTATGTGATAATACTTTCTCTTTAATTCTATAAACAGACATAATTCCTTGTTCAGTTACAGAGTTCCGCTGTTCAAGTCCTATAATTGCGGTGTCGAGAATACTGACTAATTTGTCAATCGAAATTTTTTCGTTTTCAATAACTTCTGTGTCACTTTCTTCGCTATCAGAAGCAAATTATAATGGCGAGGAATTTGATTTAAATCATATCAAAGACGGAATATACGAGATGAAATACTACATTTAGTAAGGAATTATAAGCCAAATAAAATGAAAACATCTGCCCTGAAGATGAGGATAGTGCTGACAGATCAACTTCCAATTCATTGCGCGCCGTTTCCCCCCCCATCCCCCGCCGCAGAGCAGCGTGAAATTGATAAACAGATTTTGGAATCGTTAGGTCATTTTTTGCAGCAATTCAACTTTTGTTTAATGGAGTTCGAAACATACTTTCGCTTTGGTAGATCTTTTACATATTGGTAAATATATATCGGAAATTCTATTTGACATAATCGAAAGTTCAAGCTTACTTTTATAAAATTGCTCTAACAGTCTGCAAAAAATAATAAGCCGGATCCAATTCGAAGATTAAGGAACAATGCAATCTGCAACATTAACTGATTTAGATAATTTTAGCTTAGCTTACACTGTCCGCTATACATTAAATGCGCATGCGTAAACGTATTTTACGCACGCGCACACACCTATTCACAGCCGTAAAGGTCTTACGCCCATGTGTCAACGCGATGCATGCACAGAAAGTTTGTAGCTTTGAGGTCCGGATTATAGATAATTCCGGATTATGGGTGTCCGAATTAACGACTTTTGACTGTAATTCTCTCTTGAAATCGTTCTAAAAATGAATAAACAGTCTCTGTAACTAGACATGCTTCTAGACTTACTTTACAAGTGCAGGCACAGAGAAATGACATAATTCTGTACATATGTAGTGATATAATACATTATATTTTCAGAAAGATTAATATATTAATAATTTAGATATTAATATCTAAATTAATTTAGATGTTAAATTAATATCTAAGTTAACTATTATTTTTCTGAACAATTTCTTTTTCGTGCTGGTATAAATATCACATTTTTGTATTACTTAAATTAGCTTTATCTAATTTTTTTTTTTTAAATTCTATTCCTTTACAAAACAGTGGGAAAGAAATGTTTCTGGATGTATTAAATTTTTTTTTATCTTGAGTATTTCTCATACATTTTGATTTTTCTGTATAAGTGTAGTATTTTACTTAACATATCATCACAAGCTGCGATATTAATTTTTTCTCCTCCTTTTTTAATACAATCATCTATATATAAATGCTATAACGATTTTTATTAAAAAAAATGAAAAAATCTGTGTCAGTGTGATTGTGTCCCCCCCCAATTAGAACTCTCAAAGATAGTTTTATTATGCTTTAACATGTTAATATGATTGTAAAGCAGTGAATGTAATATAAAGTAGAAAATAGAACCTTTTTGTTTCATTTCAGAGTGTTCAACAGTACTCGAACATGCAGCAACAGCAGCATGGCCCTTCACAGTCATCTCAAATGTCTCCTGCTGGTGGTTATGATCATCAGCGCCAACCTCAGATGGGCTCATATGGTGGCCCACCTGCTGCTCCTCCAGCCCAACCTGCTCAGCAACAGCAACAGAATCAGCCTGCCTCCCAACAGCAACCTCCTCCCCCTCAATCTTCTCAACAACAACAACCTATGCAACAGCAACAAACGCCTCCCTCACACCAACAGCCGCCACCTCATACCCCTCCTTCACAGCAACAACAACAACAGCAGCAGCATATTCCACCACCACCACCTTCGTCACAGCAACAGCAACAACAGCAGCAGCCTCAACAGCAGCAACAGCAAGTAACTCAACAACCGTCTCAGGTAAGATTGATTCTTTATACATTCCCCTTTTAAACTCATCATTTTAAGTTTGGGTCTTCTTTAGGAGTTGAGAAAGCATTCGTTGGCATTCTATTGATGTAAAAAAATTGTTCCTTAAGTATTAATTTTTCAGTGTTTTGCAGAAAATATGGATATATACAAATTCGAGGAAACTTGTGATGAGGAATGTTTAAACTAAGTGATTTCTAAATACAAAAGACATACGTCGTTGACAAACAAGGAAAGATATATATATATCATGGATATTGCATATCAAATGATTAGAAAAAGGAGAAACTTGAAAGCTAAATTGTATAGTTAGGAAAACATAACTAAGTTTTAAACATAATTGTACGGCTTTTTTTTTTTAATACAAATGGTAGATGGAATCTTTCCCGAAGACTGCAAATTTCAAAACTTGTTTTTGATTTTGATTTTGATCGATTAATATTAATTAACAATCAAAAACGATTTTGATTGTTAATTAATATTAATCGATATATTCTGATATTCTTGTTGTAAAAGAAGAAAAAGTGTCGGTTTTATAATACGTAAGAATTTAAGATAATTTTAATATTAAAATATATTATTTATTTATAAAGTTTTATAAATCTGTAAATTTTTTTTTTTTAAATTTTGTATGGAAATTTAAATATATTGAACATGAAATTACTTAAAAACGAGAGGGAGATCAGAATTCGAAAAATTCTTGACAACATTGGATACTTGGAATAAACTTCATTTGAAAGATTATTTTTCAAGTTATATGAGGGACCAAAAGTTCTAATCGGAAATTCTGCGATGATCGTTAAGCGAGGATGTGATATCAAATTTTCATCCAAATATTTCAAGTGCTCAAAATATGTAGAAAATCAGCATAGTAGGAAGGGGGGAAGTAGAGCTAAAGGAATGAGCCCTTGTCAGAAATGAGTTCAAGATAACATCCTAACAAACCTAGAAAGAACCTAAACAAAAAACATGTAAAAATAAAATTGTTTGTTTATTAGAACGGGAGCTGCAATCAGCGTGTTGAAGAGTTTGACCTCTTGTTTTGACAGTGTGTAGTTTGACTCCAGGCATGTGTGTTGTTTGATTGCATTGGGTCATCATATATGGTATACATATATTTATTTCATATGCGAATAAACTTAGATTTGTTTGGCAGATTATTTTTCAGGTTTTGTTTGTGCTTTAAAGATTGTTATTTTTTAATGCTGATCTTCAAATTTATGCTTTTGATCTTTGCGAGCTTAAAAAATGAATGAAACTTGAAATTAGAAAGGTGGTATTTTTTTAATCTGTGAAATTTATTTCTGTTGCTAAGATTATATTTATTTTCGTTTCTAAAGTAAATCTTAATTAAAAGCAGTTAACAGGAGGGTAGTAAACTTTGTTTACAACATTAATTCTAACACTCAAGATCATTACTAATTTTCGAATAATATTCTGATATTTGCTTCGTTTTCTTTTACATGCTAAATTACTCTTCAAAAATTTCAAATGTGTATTTATAGCAAAAAGGGACACTTTAACATGATTGAAATAAGAAATATTATCTGACTCCCCAATGAGAAGATTGGATAAATTTCTCTTACGAAACCAAGTGTATGTGAAATGTCTAATTTCAAAATGAAAAATCAGTAACATTTATTATAAAGTGAATATAATGTATTTAACACTTAAATTTCTTGTTCAAACTTGCCAAAGAAAATATTATTTTATTGATTGTTATTATATTCAGAGAAGCAGTACATTTTTTTTTTTTTTTTTTAAATTTTATTTTGCAATTTGGTAGGAATAAATTTTTTGAAATAAATAGCAGGCTGTTTGGATTTTACTTCAGCTAAATGAATGCTCAGCCGTTTGCGTCATTCTAAGGGAATCATGCTTGTGCCATTTATTTCTTTAAAGAACTAATCGCGCGCAAAATGCGTAATTAGGTATAAGTGTTGTGAAAAGTTTTGTGTATTTTTTCCTGTACGAAATGCGCTGGAGGAAGGAAAAGAAAATAAAAACCCTTAAAGCTGAGGAAAGAGAATAGCGATATAACTTGCAGCATGGGATTAAAATTTCCGTCCAGTTCTGCGAATCCTCTGTAATTCTTTTGTTGGAAAGAAGAGATAAGGAGCAAAAGGAAAAATCTTGCTCTTTTGTGATGAGGAGGCGTCTGCGTGTGCGGAGGGGGGAAATATCTGACGACGAATCCCATTCTTTATCCATACTTCTTATCCCTCTCCCTCTATTGGGGAGCCCTATTTGAAGGACCTGTGCGGTTTCATAATTCTCCCCCCTTTGAAGAAAGCCCTACTTATGTCATCGACGCTGCATTCCTACTTACTGCTACACCCTTCTCCTACATTGTAGGCGGAGTAGAAGAGGGGAACTGTCATTTAAAATATAAACCGATTTCCCCTTCATTTGACTTTCTCTTCATTACTCCTCTACCAATCTTAAGCAGTAGCATAAAGTTTTTACACGTTGAGCCTAATTCTATTTCGTTTGCCTAAAGGCAAAGCGACCGAAAAATCTTGCCCCCTTTTTTTAGGAAGGCGGTGGTAATACTGCTTTTATTGTATGTTTCTTGTGATCAATTATTTTTTTTTTATTTTATTTTAATTTTTACTGATTAAAATTGTGTATTTAGAAAAAAGAAACTTAAGTATGTTTTTTGTGTTGTCACTTGATATGTGCCCAGAAATTTCTCATCTTGTTTTTATCTGTAGAATTGACATTAGAATTAGAAATTATTAAGTAAAAGAAGTCAAAGTAAAACTACGATTTTGTTTTGATACGATAGTAATTGTGAAGTTATTATCTTGTTTGTTAACCAGCCTATTATCACTTTTATCTCTGTTTATTTGGATGCAACATTTTTCTGAGTAAAAACTCGTTCATCGCGAATTTTAATGTTTGGTAGAATTGCGTTTACTTACTCCTTGCCTTGCTCTATTATTCATTTTTCTGCTTTGATTTAATTGCTCATTAGGCTAACTGTAAAATTTAAATCTCTTCAAATCACAATTTTAATTAACTTAATGTCAGTACATATGTTCGATTAGCATTTGAGACAGAAACATGTTATTTAACTTTTGCAAGCATTGAAAAGATAATATCGGCTCAGAAATGTGTTGTGTTAATGGAAAATTTAAGATACAATAAACATCCCTTAACAAAACTGCTTGAGGGGTGACCCCTGCAGTGTTGTACACGATCTTATAGGAAATATATCAGTTGACTCAAATTTTGGTTAGCGCAGATTATAATCTGTTTTTTAGCCTGCTGTGTCATTAATTTTTGTCAAAAGTTTTTCCTATTTTTCTCCTGTTGTTTCTCTGCTAGGGCTGAGTTCAGAACTGTTCTGTCCTGTTTAATTGAAAATCTCTTTTGACACTGAGCAGATGTACAGCCCCATGACATACATGTTCTGAATTTAAGCAATGTAAAGATTCACATTTTCTCCCCAAATGCAATGAGTCGTATTCAGCCTTTGGATCAAGGCATTATTGTAGTTATGAAGAGGTCTTATCACAAGCAACTTGATAGCTGCGTTTTTCACTATTCAAAAGGAGATGGAAATGCCAACTTGGAGTGAGTGTGCTTGATGCAATAAAAGCTGTTGCTGTGCACCCTCAAATTCCATGTCATCACAACACATACAAAAATATATTAGCAGAACCTGGAGACTTAAATAGGCTAATCCTGTTGACGTGATAAAAACAATACCATTTTACCTGACAAATGAAATTATCTGCAAGACGCTATGAACCATAGTGTTAGTTTTGAGGAGTTTGTTAGTGTGCAGAGGATAGTGTAGCTGTGTGTGTTCCAGTGCAATATGATGTACAAGTAATTGTATATGTAGTGCAAGACATGTCATCACAAGAAAGTGAGGAGAACAATATCATTCTTCCCACCCACCAGGAAATGTTATATGCTTTGGACACTGCAGAACATTTTGCTGCAGCATCCAGATTGACTGCTAGTTTTATAGAAGTTATGTTATGAAGTTACCAGGCATTTTCATACTCATCTGCAATATCACAATTTACATGAATTTTTCACCAAAAAAGTGATCTGTAAGTGCATTTTTCTAAGTTACAGTACAGTAATTTATGTAATACTGTAATGTTTTTTGTGACGACATGCATAATATATTATAGAACTTAGAAAAAATTATTCGAGAAATAAAATTTTGAATCTTCAGCTAACACGAATTTTTTATTTTTCATTTGCTTGAGATTCATATTAATGAGAGTTTTCTGTATTAAAATCAGCTGCAAATAACTATTTTTGAGTTATTTAATAAGTTATGTAATTGCTTATTGTAATTTAATAAGTTATGTAATTGCTTGTAAGAATTTTGTAATTTTGTCACAATACAAAATAAGAAAATTTTTTATTAAAACTTTATTACTTTTAATACAGATTTTAATTTATCACCTGTGTTATTTTTTACTACTAAAGAAGCTGATGGCAAATTTTAGAGTAAATGACACTGATGTGGCAATATCCCTGGTTACAAAAGCTGTTACCACAGAATTTCAACTATTTTTCCAGTTACACACATTAATTTCATAGGAAATATTCTTATAAATATGATATACATTATGTATGTCTCTTGTTTATTCTCTAATTATAAAAAAAAAAAAGTTTTAACAGCAAGTCAAAGTAATAATTAAATCACAACGTACCTTGATGCCAATAATCCAAAACTGTCTTTAATTTAATTAAACAAACTGGAATATTTGAGAGACTTAATATTTAATTAATTTGAGAACTTGCGAATGATTTTTCAGTTTTTTCTTCTTTCATTTTGAGCACTATCAATTTTATGAAGAAATGTATTTAGCGCCAGATTTACTGGAATGAATTAATATACGTGTTTAAGCATTTTAATGTAAAAACATTTACATTGAATTTGTGGATGATTTTTTAATAGCAGGATTACTGTTATTACATTAACTGATGAATTTTTTATACTACGAGGTATGAGAAATAAT